CATCCATCCATCATCCATCCATCCATCCTGGATGGGTTTTCCTGGAGGATCTGAGCTCACTCCTAACAAGGGACAAGTGATGTCCACAGGAAGGGACAGGATGTGCCAGGGGCTCCAGGTTGGATATTATGGAGGATTTTAGGATATTAGGAGGATTTTAGGATATTAGGAGGATTTCAGTTTATTAGGATATCAGGGGGGATTTCTCCACAGAAAAGCCCCAGAGCTCCCATCCCTTCAGGAATTTCATATTTTTGTGGATGTGGCCCTTGGGTGTGGCAGAGTTAATGGCTGGAGCAAAATCCACGGAATTCCAGCTGAAAACTCACCTGAGTCCCATTTGTGTCCATTTCTCTCTCCCCTCCTCCCACCCCCAGATATAATTAAATTCAATTAATCTGATTATGTGCACAGTCTATCAGAAAGAGAAATCTTAATAGCCTGCTCAATGTGATGAATTAATAGATATTAATTAGAATTCATCTCATCCCTGCCATGGCAGGGACACTTCCACTGTCCCAACCTGGCCTGGGACACTTCCAGGGATCCAAGGGCAGCCACATTTTCCTGGAAGTGATCTCTTCCTGGCTTTTCCTGGATGTGATTTTTTTTCCTGGATTTTCCTGGATGTGATTTTTTTTCCTGGATTTTCCTGAATGTGAATCTTCCAGAGCAGAGGCTGCCCAGGATCAGCAATTCCAGCCCTCCTGGGTTATCCTCTGCAACACTCCCATCACTTTTCCTAAACTGTGGAGTCATTTTTCCAGTGGGAATCCTGAAGCTGTGGCTTCCCCAGGGACCTAAAAAGCTGCTGCTTTGTGTGTTTTAAAGCTCTTCCTTTGCAGAGTGGCTTTTGTCCCCAAGCACTGAGGGACAAATAATGCCTGGGGATTTTATATGGGATATGGAACAGAACAAACGGCTTCTCCTAAAATATTTTCTATTAAAATATTTCCTATTTTCTGCCATAAATCTTGACTGGGCTGCTCCATCCTTTCCTGACATGGAGCAGAACCCAGGGGGAAAAAACCCAAAAACTTGATTGGTGAGGTTTTTATAATCCCAGGTGTAATTCCTGCGTGGCAAAGATGAAGGGAGCAAAATTTTGCTTTTCTGGGTCTGCACATCCGGATCCCACTCGGCTGCTGCTGCCTCCAGGCATCCTCTCTGGGAGAAGGGATGGGAAAAAAAGAGGAAAAGAGCAAGGCTGGGTCATGCCTCATCCATCTCCTGGCAGGGAGCTGCTTCCTGACCTGATTTCCCATTTTCCAGCTGCCTCCAGGCTGTGAGGAATCCCCCACCGGTGTCTTCTTCACTGCCCTGCTCCTCATCCGGGGTCTGCAGGAAAGCTGCAGGGTTTGTAAATCCGGGAATGGCAGGAGAAGTGAATGGGAACTACCCCAGTTTGAGCTCCTGGGTCTTACAAACATGGCTTTGGGAAAGGACCTTCAATATCATCGATTTAATCTATTTAATCTATTCAATCCATTTAATCTATTTAATCCATTTCCCAGCTTCTTCTGCAAGGTGGTTTCACCCAGAAGAACCTGGAGAAGAATTTGGGATGAGATTCCAATTTCTCCATCTTCCCATGGGTTTTACCAATTTCTCCCTGGAAAATGAAATGGGAACAGCCCCAATCCCAAACTCTGCTCATTTCCAGCAGGGAAAAGGGCAGAAATCAGATTTCCTGGGATGGAGCTTTGGCACAGTGCTGGGATTTGTCTCCGTGTGGGGGAAAGCAAATGGAGAGCTGGAGACAAAGAGCCCCCCTGATTTCAGAGCAAGAGCAGAGCGAGAAAAACCTTCATGAAAAATGAAAGAGGAGATGAAGCTCCCGGAGTTATCTGGGGCATGAAGAAACCCAGCAGGCCAGAAAAATGTGAGCAGGGAGAGCAGTGGAGGTGAAAAAAAGCGAGGATTTATGTTTAATTAATCACCTAATTTGCGTTTGAATGGCAGCATCCTGCCAGGTCTGGTGGTCCCATTCAGTTTTCCCTTTTCCCTGATTTTTTTTGGGGGGGATGATCAAAATCATCCAAATCAGTGGAGCATCAAACCCTCGGTGCTGAAAATCCACCCAAGAAGCCACGGGAGGAGGAATTGGAAGGGTTGGGATATCCGGGATTTTCCTGTCTTTGGTGTTGGGAGGTGAATTTTTAAAGGGGGATAAAGAAAAAAAAAGAAGGAAAATCCCAACCAAACCCTCCCCTTCCCAGAGCTGGAATTCCGTGCTCAGTGGGTGACAGGTGAGCTCAGATGGAGGAACCATTTCTGCTAAAAAATCTGACATTTTTAACCAAGAAAGAGGAAATGGAGGTGATTTAACCCTGATTTTGACTCTTTTTAACCAAGAAATGGGAAATGGAGGGGATTTAATCCCAGTTTCACTCTTGTTAACAGAAATAGGGAATGGAGGTGATTTCACACCGATTTTGATGGTTTTTAACCAAACAAAGAGGAAATGAAGGGGGATTTAACCCTAATTTTGACTTTTTAATCAAACAAAGAGGAAATGAAGTGGGATTTAACCCCAATTTTGACTTTTTAACCAAAAAAAGAGAGATTTAACCCCAATTTTGACTCTTTCACCAAACCAAGAGGAAATGAAGGGGGATTTAACCCCAGTTTTGACTCTTTCACCAAACAAAGAGGAAATGAAGGAGGATTTAACCCTGATTTTGACTTTTTAACCGAACCAAGAGGAAATGAAGGGGGATTTAACCCCGATTTTGACTCTTTCACCAAACAAAGATGAACTGGGGCACGATTTTTCTTTGCTTTGCTTTTGTCCCCGAGCAGCCCCGCTGCTCCTCCTGCACCTGGGGATTTCCTGCCCTGGCCTCACGCTCAGGGTTTCACTCAGGTCCTTCAGGCTTCCTGTTTTGCTCTCAGAGCTTTCATTTCACCCACAAATCATTTCCTGTTCTGAGGCTCCCTGTGGCTGATCCCCTCCATTTCTGCTCCAGATTTCTGGTAAATTTTCGCTCTCCCCTTTCCCAAGGTGCTTTCCCAGCAGCAGGATGGGTGATGGGGGAATTTCAGGAAGATTTTCCTTGACATCTTTAAGTCACGGGGGGGGGGGGATGATCCTGCTCTGCTTTTCAATTCCAGCCACGGGAAGTGTCGAGCTTCCCAAATTAACTCGTCCAGCAGCACAGAGCCCTCTATTACTCTGCCTTTCCATCATTTTCCTGGAGTTCAAGTGATGCTCTAAATGAATTAGTGCTGGAGAATGGGTGTGGGGAGGGAAGAGCCATTGGAGAGGCTGAAAACCTGACAGGGATGGAGGAGCTGCATAAGCCAGAGAGGTTCCAAGGGATGTGGTGGTGACAGAATCATTTCAGCAGTAAATTCCTTTTCATTTTGGAGGGTTACAGGCGTGGCAGGAATTTTTAATAATTGGGGATGTGATTCCAAGCTCGTTAAATGTGTGGCTGGGAGGGAATTGAGGGATTCATTGCTTGCAGTTCACTGCAGAGCCACAAATTCAGCAACAAATTCTTCTTCCCAAACATTCCCAGTGCCTGTTTTTTTTTTTTTTTTTTTAAATCTTTATCTTTATCGTTGTTGTTGTTATTATTATTATTATTATTATTATTATTATTATTTTGTTCCTGCACTCTGTATTTTTATTTATCCCTGATTCTCACTCAGATATTTGCAAAACTCGAGGTTTCAGTCGTAGCCACTCAGATTTTCCCCTCCCCATGGAGCTCAGAGGCTGGGGAAGGATGGCTGGTGGTCTCCAAGTGTTTATCCAGGACCTACAGACCTCGGATTGTTGGGAATCCCGATATTTTGGGTCTGCTGAGAGTGGAAAAACATCCCAAAAATATTCCCGTGGGAGGGGTTGGAAAGAGAGGAGCTTTAGGGTCCCTTCCAACCCAACATCCTGAAACCTGGGAGTCACAGAATTCCAGAGAGGTTTGGGTTGGAAAGGACCTTCAAGCCCATCCCATTCCCTCCTTCCTATGGACAGGGAACCTTCCAGAACCTTCCAGGGGTGGGGCAGCCAGAGTTCCATGGATCACGTCTCCATCCTGGCTGTGCTTTGCAGGAAGATGTTCCCTGTGGCCAAGGTGTTGAGGGGATGCTGAGGGATTTCCTTCCCTCCTGGATCATCCATCCCTAATTTAGCAAAGTCAGGCTGCCCAAATACCAAAAAACCTGAGCATGGGCTGGATTTTGGAGCTCTTTTCCAAGCCTGTTCCATGATTCCCTGCTGATGGATGGACACAGCTTCCATGGAAACTTCTGGAGCTTCCAGGAGGAAGCAGCAGCACAGGGAGGCTGCAAAATTTTGGTCTTTTCCAGCCTCCATGGGGACAAAGCTCCTTGACAGACACTTCCATAAGGGATTTAAAGATTGGATTTCCTGAAGGAGGGATTATGGAGTCAGCAGGAATTTGTGCCTGTAGGGTGACATCAAGGTTTTGGGGAAATGCAGCTTGGTCCTCCCTCTGTGCTGCTGGGGCTGGCACAGCATCGTCAAAGTTGGGATAATGAGGGTTTTTATTAATGGGAATGTTCCAGAGGCTCTGGCAACACGCCTGGGGTTTCACAAACGTGAAAATAAATGAGGAAAAGAGCAGCTTCCCGGTTTTACATCCAGAACAAATGAAATCCAGCACAGCCTGCAGGAAAAATCCCAATGCAGAGACCAGATGTGCTCTGACCCCTCTTTACCTCACTTTTCCCACAACAAGGAGATGAGGAGCTCCCTCCACACCTGAGAATTCCTCCTGCAGCTGCTTTGGCTCCTCAGGAATTCAGAGTAGGAGACACCTCCGGGATTTTCAGTCTTTTCCTTTGCCATCCCATGGGATAAAGTGATCACACTGAGCTGAAATATTGGTGTCTTTTTTTGCCCAGCTCCTCCTGGGAGGCAAAGAGAGAACCTGGTTCTCCCTCCTGTCGTTCCCAGCCTGTGTTCCTGCCCCCCTCATCCCCACCGTGCTGTGATGTCCCGCAGCTCAGGCAGCTCTTGGCCTTCCCAGATGTATTTTTGGACTGCAGCCTCCTCTCCTTTCACCTTCCCCCTGGCAGGATGAGCGGGGTGACCTCTCCACATCCTCCCCTGCTCGTGCCAGGACACAGGGAATGATTTCCCACTGCCAGAGGGCAGGGATGGATGGGATAGTGGGAATTGGGAATTGTTCCCTAAGAGGGTGGGGATGGCCTGGCACACATTCCCAAAGAAGGAGAAGGAGAAGAAGAAGAAGAAGGAGGAGAAGAAGAAGAAGAAGAAGGAGAAGGAGAAGGAGAAGGAGAAGGAGAAGAAGAAGAAGAAGAAGAACAACAACAACAACAACAACAAGGAAAATAAAAATAAGAAAAAGAAAAAGAAGAAAAATAACATAAAGAACAAGAACAAGAAGCAGCAGCAGCTGTGGCTGCCCCTGGATCCCTGGAATTGTCCAAGGCCAGGTTGGATGGGACTTGGAGCAGCCTGGATAGTGGAAAGTGTTGGAAACAAATGGGCTTTAAGGTCCCTTCCATCCCAAATCATTCCTGGCTTTTCTGTCTCTTCCCATGGCCTGGAGCCCCTTCCTTGCCCTTTCCTGCCAGAATTGTCCCTGTCATTCCTCAGATGGGGCCTCCTCAGCAGCTGGAATTCCAACCAGGGTTTCCCTGGCACCAGCAGAAGCTGACCCAGCAAATCCAGCCCTGCTAAAGCTCCAGCTGCCTTGACCAAAACATCGTGAATATTCATGAGGCAATTAATTAACGTCTCCCTGCTTTAATAGCTCCTCACAAAATCCTGTGCCCTCCCAGGGGCTGGAAGTGTCACTTCAAGGTTTTTTTTGGAACAACCTGGCCAGGAGTGAACACTGAGGACTGCAGTGATCCCAATCAGCTCCCCAAGGCTGTGATGGTGATTAGTGCCCGTAATTAGGAATTCTCCAGAAGGATCGGGCTGTGCTGCAGAGCTGGGATGGTGCAGGAAGGAATTTCCAGCTCTGGGATATTCCAGGTTCAGCAGCCTCTGTTACACAAAACTTAGTGGCAGAGCTGCACCTCGTGTGGCTGGAGATCCCCTGCAGGAGACAACATCCCTTGGGAACTGGGAGATGGAGATATTTGTATGGATGGAAACAACGTGGGAATTGCCAAGAGTTTCTTCCCTGTCCATTTTCCTTCCCCTGCCAGGACATGGGATGCTGGTGGACACCTCCAGCTCTCCCAGCCTCTCTAACCATGGACACTCCTCTCCAAAAGCACCAGCAATGCTCCAAATTCTGCTTCCCTGCCACACCCAGGGATCCCATCCCATCCCATCCCATTATCCCATTATCCCATCCCGATGATCCCACCCCCACTGCCCCCACAGGAATTTCAGGGCTGAGCTTGTGGAAGCCATTCTGGGATTTCTCTGGGTATTCCCAGTCTGGAATGAAGAGAGCTCTGAGATTTCAGCAGGATGAGGATTGCAGAGGGAATATCTGCAGTGGGGGTGGGGTGGGTGCTGGATTTATCCCAAATTCTTACCTCCAGTTGCTCTCCCTTCTCCACTCAGCACTTCTGAGCTCATTCCTGCAGGATTCTGGAAGTGCCAAGGCTGTGAATTATCCCAAAATTATTTAGGGGAGAGCAGGGACAGCAGCTCCTTCAAGGGCTGTTAAACACAGGGCTGTGCATCCAACCTGCAGCTCGGGGAGCTGCTGGATCCTGGGATTCTGGGAGCTGCCAGGGAATCCTGAAGGCACCAGAACTCCGGGCTTGCCCTTGGAATGCTTTTGATCCCAAGCCTCTGTCACTGGCTGCTGTCAGAACTCATCACTCATCCCCCAAAACTGCAGGGAAAGGGGAAGGGGTTTTGTAATGAGGAATGGAACGAGCAGTGCCAGACCAGGGCTGGTTGAACCTCATTAATTGATGTGTTAATTACCTGTGGATACCTAGGCCTGCCTGGACTTTGAGCTTCACTTGGAGAAGCTTTACAAGTGGAATTCCAGCAGCTTGGAGGAGAAGAAAACCTTCCTCAGGGCTCTGTGGAAGCTGAACCGGCGCTGTCCCCTTTGTGAACGTCCCCTCGGGTGCAGTGGAAGGTAATTAATGAATGACTGAATTAATTAATTCATGGCCTTGTCACACTCGGAGCTCTCTGAGCTTTTTGCAGCGTCCCCATGGTGAAAGGTGAATAAATCCAGGCAGGGAAGGAGGGTGCTGGGACAGGGAGAGGGGACAGCAGGAGCTGGCTTTGGGTGTTGGGAGGCACAGCCATTGATTTATCCACTGCCCATGGATACAGGGGGCCAGGCTGGGAATAAAAACAATTTATCTCCTTTCCACGACCTGGTTTAGGGAGGTGAGAGTTGGTAACACCAGGGCAAGAACTTGGTGACACCCCCTGATCATGAAAAAAATACATTTGAGAATGTAAAATGTATTTTATGTATAAATATATTATTTCTATGTATATTTAACTCTCCACCAGCCAACTTTCCATCCATTTCATAGAAACACACGGGTTTGGGTTGGAAGAGACCCTGAGGACCATGGCAGGGACACCTTCCACAATCCCAGGCTGCTCCAAGCTCCGTCCAACCTGGCCTTGGACAATTCCAGGGATCCAGGGGCAGCCACAGCTTCTCTGGGAATGGGTGCCAGGGCCTCCCACCCTCATTTTCAAACCTTTCTTCCTCGTGTCTAATTTAAATTAGAGGAGTTTCTAATTTAAATCGAGGAGTTTCTTCACCTCTGGAATTGTGTGACACATCAGGGTGGCCCAGAACACAAACCCTGGAGACATGAGGAAGGAAAATCCCAATTCAATCTAACCCAACCCAACCCAATCCAGTCCAGTCCAGTCCAGTCCAACCCAATCCAATCCAACCCAGTCCAACCCAATCAAGTCCAGTCCAACCCAACCCAGTCCAACCCAATCCAATCCAATCCAATCCAATCCAGTTCAACCCAACCCAATCCAACCCAATCCAATCCAACCTAACCCAAACCAGTCCAGTCCAATCCAATCCAGTCCAGTCCAATCCAATCCAGTCCAATCCAATCCAGTCCAGTCCAACCCAACCCAACCC